GAGACCTTGTAAGGCATAAACAGGCACTACTTTTTCCTTGCACTCCTCTTAAGTCAGTTTCATGGCATCTAAATTGTGCACCACACTCCAGCATCGTTCCGAATGAAATTGATTTAAAAAGGTCATTTGGTTTAAATCATCCCTTTAGAACTAATGCTTCCATAAATGCTCGGCCCCGGGAGAAATGTCTGGACTGATTTCTGGACCTGAACATCCAACCAGAGGGGACAGAGGTGCTCAGTGATGAGACATTTTGGGCACTCCCTCCCTCCCAAACCTTTGCGGAAATTCTTATTCAAATCAAAAGGGAGGAAGAACAACAACAATTGATTTGATATTTCAGCATTAAGTGGTGCTGGGAAATGTCAGGTTTATCTGCTGTCTGCCATCTTTTCCTCCACCAACTGTTCACTTTACAGTTCACAACTGGAACGGGATGAGACAATAGCTCACTTCTTTTTATCTTTTTAAGGATCAAAAAATACATTTCCTCTCACTTTCCTTCTGCACAGGCTTTCTGTATACTGAACATACAAAAGGGCAGCAGGGATAAGGGGCATTAATCACCACCCCTCTTCTTTAAAAGCAGCAGTTGTTCTCCTAACCTTTATCTCCGACCAGACTGAATATCCTGGAAAGAGCAGGAAGCGCACAGCGATGTAAGGTTTTGCTATCCTCTTTGTGAACTACCACAGCAATGTGCACACACGATAAGCCAAAAGGAACCCTGCCTATCAGTGAGATCTGCAAGGCACGTAGTAAACGTGATGTTAAAGGGAGATTTTAACTGCCCACACATAAATTGAGGGGGTACTGAAGAGCTAAACTAGAACAACTAAATGACATTTTGTAAGTGTTCTAGTTTACCTCACGGTTGAGCAACACGGTTTTAGGAAAGATCTTTTAGAAGTACTGGAGTTCTTTGAACAAATGAAAATGGCATTTGTGTTACCAGTTTGGTTAACGTGCAAACCAAAGAAATCCAAGGTAACACCTGCACAGAGATCAAGAATGGGTTAAATGGAGCACAAACTCCAGCCAGCTTTAGTCCTTTGGTTTGGAGAGTTTCTCACCTGTGTATCCATCCTCACCTGCTCTGTCCTTTGGCTCTCCTGTGCTTTTATATTCCTGCCACCTTCCTCTCTCCCTCGCACCTGAAACGCCGTGTTTCTCCTACTTTCCAGCCCGGAATTAACCTTGACTGTGCAGTGCTCATGCAGCTCCCAGCTCAAACCATGGTTTAGTTTTGTTGCTCTTCCCGTCCTACATTAGCAATTTAGATCCTGTTCTAATAAGGAAGCAAAATAAATTTGCAGATCTAAAAACAGAGAGGGATATTAAACAACACCAGAAAGAGAATTATTAAAAAAAAAAGACCCATGGCTGTCTGTGGGCAGACAACTGACAAAACATTTAACATTGATAAGTGAAGAGGAAGTAGGAACCTACAGCACATTTTTAGTAAACACATGGGCGAGTGTGAGCTTCAGGAAGCTTCGGATGAAAGGGATTTGGGAGTTTACATAGAAAACTCTCAGCCCTCATCAAGATAATGTGGGGAAGCAATAAAAAAAAAAGGCAAACTGAATGCTTGGGTTTATGGCCCAAAAAAAAAAGGTGGATTTCAAATCCAGGGAAGTTACCTTCACCATTTATATCGCACTATCAAGGCTTCGTTTAGCTTACGGTGCTCAGTTTCGGTTACCATAATACCTCCAGCCAATTACAGCATTAGAGCAGCTGGCAGGATGGTGCCCTGCTCTCGAGAAGAGTTACGAGCAAGAAGCCGTTTGGCCCATTTAACTTGTGCGGCGGTGCAAACGAAGTGTTATTAGACCGATGCCCTTCCAAGAGCTCTGCTGTCAGATGGTTTATTGCAGGCCTCTCTCACCAGCATCTTAACGCTCTTTACTGGACAGTGCTGGCTCGCTGCCCACCTGTTGCCGCGCTCGCTGCCAAGCCAGAGGAAGAACTGTTCTGCTCCCACGTGGGGAAAAGCACACTTGCAGCTGGGCTTGACCGAAGTGATGAGCCAAGCTGAACGCAACGCTGACCTGACTGTCTGCTTCACCACAGACGGCAGATAAACTTGGTTACAACGAACAGCTTTGTGCAGCATTTTCTGGGAAATGCAAGTCCTCCCTTTCTTTCTCAGAAGGGATCTGCCAATTATTTCTTCTCAAGTTCCAGGATCGTCCAGAAAGAGCTAGCCAAGCTACTGCGCACTGAACACTGACACAGCACTTGACACAGCATTTAAAAAAAACTAAAAAGGTTTTAACACTTTGTATATTGCCATACACACGTGTGCTTTTAATTTATTTCAAAAAACCTGAATCAGACAAAGATGTTACTGGAACAGTTCCTGGAAAAGTGCAGGACAGACAGAATTAAACCTGGCAAACCTACACCAGCTGCAGCTCACAGTGCTGGATGGGGCAAGAGGAATAAAAGACAACTGCTGTGGTCCACGAGCTCAGGTGACGAGCTCTAAAATGCAGCCACACGTCAGACTCGGTGCAAGGATGTCAGATTTTACAGCTCCAACGGCAGGCCTGGTGCTGAAAAACTGTGCCAAAGGGCGAAGGGCTGGGATACAGAGACCAGCGCTCATGGTTTGAAAGCATTGCACAACGGAAGTATTCACAGGATACTGTGCACGCTGGAAATCATAAAGCTCCCATTTGCTTTAATCAGCTCCCTCCCGTTTGAACAGGAACAAATATATTACCACTTCCTTGACCTAGCTGAAGCTAAATGATTAAAGATGTGCCGTGAAAATGGCAACTGGACAGGAAGAACGAGCTGAGGTTTGGCAAAGGTGAGGACGCACGAGAGACAGCGACAGGAAAAAGATCAGATCACTTTATTGGCCATATACAATTTCTTGTGTTAGGAATTTGTCTTTTCGCATACTCCATCCTGCTTTCCATGAGACACACAGACAGGGAGAGAAGCTGGGGGTCAGAGCGCAGGGTCAGCCATTTATACGGCACCCCTGGAGCATCTGGGGTTAAGGGGCCTTGCTCAGGGGCCCAACGTAGTAGGATTCCTCTGCCGGCCGCGGGATACGAACCGGCAACCTTCCAGCCACAGATCCTGAGCCACAGAGCCACCACTTCGCCCCAGCTCCAGCATGCAAGGCTAGACCCCTCAAAACAGTGGTGAACGCTCCACATCGGTACAGATGTTGATTACTTAAGAGTTTTCAGAACCCCCAAAAAAGCCTGCTCGAGCTGCACGTTTTGTGGTCTGCTTCTCTGCAGCAGACTGTAGGTCACCCAGTCTGAGCTAGAACACTAACCAAAGGCCATAATATCTCATGCCATTTCCCTCAGCTCATCCCTCCTCCTCCTTGAAACAGTTTTTATGGTCAGAAAAACTACTAAAACCTAACATAGGACTACTGTTTGCCTGTGAACAGCTGAAACTCCTGGGCACGTTTCTCCAGTGTGCAGGAC